TGAATGTTTTTAGCCAGATTGATTACCAGAAAGGCCTGTCCTCTTTCTCTGAGTATATGTATATCCTAGGATGTTTTTCAAGTGGACAGTGCCTGTTTTGAGCAGCAATCTTCTCTTTTCTCTCTCTTTTAAAAAAAATCTTCTCTTTTCTCACTTTTCTGTTTCCTGTTGGGCATATTCTGTTTTCTTAGGCTCTCGGTCCCAACTGTCTCTTGTATGATGTCACATGGGCCTAATAAATGTCTTGATTTCTGGAGAAGTTTTATTCTTGTCATGAATCGTTGATGGTGGAACCTAAGGCATTGAACAGGACCTTGGAAGAGGTATTTGGGTCAGAGCCCCTTCCTTACCCCAGTGCTATCTTTCTGTCTGTGGTGGGCAGCCTTTAACTTGCTCCTGGATGTTATCCATTCCCTGGCAAATGTGAACTAGGAATCTCAGTTTAATTCCCGTTTAACCCACTTGCTACTGTTGAGTAACGGACAACTTTATGAAAACTCACTTTCTTTCTCTGTTGCACTTTTAGCAAAACTAATTTAGTTTACTTTCATTTGCAGCACATACTTAGGAATATATATTCTACTGAAGAAATCTGGATCATGTAAAACTTTTCTCTTTTTATTTTACTTTTCATTGGAATATTAGTTATTCGAATTATGTGGGGCTGTGTTGCGGTTTGGTGCCTGTGAATATGTATGTGTGTGCATGTGCGTGTGTGTGTGTGTGTGTGTGTGTGTGTGTGTGTATGAGAGAGAGAGTGTGAGAGCGAGAAAGAGACAGACAGCACCTTGTCAGTGATTATGTACATGTATACTCTTCACTTGCATTTATCAAAGCCCAGGGGACTAGGAAACAAACTTGAAGAAATGTTCAGCCTCACTAGATAATGTATATTTCAGAATAGCAACAGTTTAAAATAGTGAGTGCATTCAATGAATATAAGCCTATAGTGATGTTAACTATATTACCAGTTGCAATATAAAGAGATAAAATATGTTTAAAAAGTAATTTTGTAATAGAGCTCAACAATTACTAAAGATCATAGCCTATAACCTAATCATACTATTACTTGGAATTTATGTGTTCTCTATGTAAAAGAAGAAACAAGGCTTGAAAATAGAAAATATAAGTATTACTATAACAAAAAGTTGGCTATAAGCTAACAGTCTGATCACAGACAAATGTCTAAATTATAGTAAAACCAATGCAATAATGTTTCCAACCATTAAAAATAATGATTATGGGGTCAGAAGTGATCAAGATATTTATGTACATGTACCAGTGCCCCAAAGTCAGCATCACTATTGTGTATTACAGAAATACACTACTAAAGGAAAAAACGGTTATAAACACTATGTACCAAGATGGAAAGTGTCTGTGATATCATTTTAAAGGTGAAAAAGGCCAGTTATGTGGATAGGGACATGAAGAAGCTTGCAAAAGTGAAAACTGTTGGCTGGAGTGATCTTTAAAAACATTCCAGCATTGTTATATTATGGTTTTTGTACCCAAACACTAGGCAGGTTTTGCTCGCTCGGGACAGGCAGACTATCGAGTGGGTGGCAGAGATTCCTTCTCTTACAGATATTCTGTACTCCTTGTCAGCCACATGTTGAGATGGATAGGAAGTGCCTTGCTAGATAGTTTTGTTGGACGAGGTTGGAAGTGAATGGACTAGCAGGAGAGAGATGTCTGGTGTTCTTCTCCAGGGCAAACATTTCCCATGTTGTCCCAAGAGACCGGGCAGGGAGGTTCACTGTCAAGGCCCTGTCTCAGGGCTTCCCTGGGGGAAGTGGGATGAAACATGGTGTGGGAACTCAAGTTAAAATGAAGTTTAAGGGCTGGGACTGGAGAGCAGTGATAGAGGGCTTGCCTAACAGGTGTGAGGCCCAGGGCTCGATCCTTAGTGCCACCAAGAAAAAAAGCAATTTAAGGTAAATGATTTTTGTAGGCAGAAAATGGTTAAAACTATATAATAGGAGGAGTGTTTTGAGAGTTAGGATATTTTTAAGGACCAGATTTTCCTTAGGTCTGGTAGGGGAATTTTTAGGTGACTGTAGAGTTGTCAGTGGGTATCTGCAGAGCCACACACAGATACCAAAAGCCTCTGATGCTCCATTCCCTTCTGTAAAGTGGTGTAGTATTTGCTTATCACCTATGCATGGCCTCCCTTAAGTCACCTCTAGATTACCTATAATAACTGCATCCAGGGTAAATGCTATGTAAATCATGCTGTCTTTCTTAGGAAATAATAAGAAAAAAAGTCCAGATATGTTAGTACAGACACAATTTTGTAAAAAAAGTATTTTCTATTTCTGGTTGGTTGGATCCATAGAGGCTGAGGTCTGGATGTGTTTGTGCGCCAAATTCTTTGCCACTTTGGTACCACTCCTAGCACCTCTTTGCTCCCCACTTGTTAGTGGAGGCGGGGGTTTTCACAGAGGAAAATCCAGAGAAGATGTGGAAGATGATGATGACATGGTTGAAGACACAAGGAGAGGGGATTTGGGGACCTTGGGAGAGCAGTTCTGCGTACCAAGTCTTAGCAACTGTTGTAACAAAGGGTATTAAAGGAGACCAAAAGAAACTGTCAGCAGATTCAGGCCTAGGGCTGTAGGTCTGTGTTCTGTGTACTGAGTGCGTCTTTGTTGTGTGGGTCGGTGACTGTGATGCTTGGTTCTCCTACAGCTGACCCACCCTCCAACTCCCACCTTCTGGATGAGCTCTGTGACTCTTGATGAGCTCTGTGACTTGGAGCCCCCCCACCATGGGCTGAGTCACAGTCAGGATATATTGTAGCCAGAATTCTATTTCTTATCTTTCCTTTTGGCCCACAGGTTGGTGCAAATGGGAATTCCCCTCAACAGAAGTAGACTTTCAGAGACTTTTGGAAAGAATGCCTTCTTGATGTCTCTGGCTTGAGAAAGAGAGGTGTTGATTAATTCTGCAGGCTGAAAAGGGGGAAATTTGAAAGCCGGCATTAAGTTGGACTCTATCCCTCTCTACTGGGCCAAGGGACAGTCATCTTTCCTCTCTTGTTGCAGTCTATATGTAGTCTCTAAGAGTAGCAGTACCCAGGCAGCTTGGAGAAATTCTGTTTCTGCAAGTAGACTGGCATTGAGGGAATTTGCCTGGTTTGTGTTTGTGTGCGCGCGCGTGTGTGTGTGTGTGTGTGTGTGTGTGTGTGTGTGGTGGTGGGCGTTAGTGATTTCTATCATCTTGACCTGAAGCTCTGCACCCTTCCTGGAAGGCTCAGACTTTGTGTGCAGACCCTGTTCTCTCCCATCTGTGCTTTCACCATGTTTCATTTCCCCTTTGGGATTCCAGCCTGCATCTAGCCAAATGAAGAGGTTCACTGCTATCCGTGTGTGTGTGTGTGTGTGTGTGTGTGTGTGTGTGTGTGTGTGTGTGACTTTTCTCTTGGGGCAGCCTCTCAACACTGCATAGCCCTTGTAGAAGTAAGGAGAGCAGAGCACCCCACCAGTCACTGCTTTGAGGGTTCGCTTGCCCTCGGAGTATGTCTCCCTACTCCAGGACTTACCCCACTGGTACCTGGAAGATGAGGGCTGTTGTACCCTCTGTGACCTGCTGGCTGACTTGTGTGAAATCGTAGGGGGATAGCCCTGGCCAGCACCTGGCCAGCTACTTGGCGGTGGACCAAGGCCATTGGTGGGCCATGTTCACCGCATTTGCTCTGTTGGAGCACCTGTTCTTGAGAGTCTGTGTTTCTTGTGTGCTTTGTAACCTTGAGGAGCCCCTGTCTGCTTCTGCCCCAAGCACGGAAATTGGGTGCCTGGGCCTGTGGGAGAGTGTTCCTCTCCTGGAGAGGAATACAGAGCTCCTGCCTTTCCTTGGGCCCTTCAAAGAGGTCAGGGAAAATCTGAAGAGAAGACGGGCTTGAAGGTGTGGCTAGTCCCACATCACCAGAGATTCTGATTTGAAGTCAAGTGGTCAGGGTTGGAATTTCTGGTTCCTCATTCCTGCAGGTAAGGGATCTCTGCAGACCTGTATGAGTCTGCTCAGGCAGCCTTACAAAGCACCATGGATTGAGAGGCTTACACAGCAGAACTGTATCTTCTCACAGTTTTGAAGATTGAAAATCTGAGATCAAGATGGCCGCTGGTTGGTTTCTTCTGGGGCCCATGAGACAAGGATGGGCCCTCTTCTTGGCTTGTAAATGGCATCTTCTCCCTCTGAGGCCACCAGTGTTCAGATTTCCTCCTAAGATTATGTCCTAGGGACTAGAGCCCACCCAATGACTTCTTGTTAACTTAATTGCCTCTTTAAAGAGAGGATCTCCAGATACAGCCACAGTGCGAGGTACTGGGCCTACCTCAGCAAAAGAATCTTGAGAGGACGCAGTTTAGTCCATATGAGCCGAGTGCCCTTGGCACTGGCAAATCAGGGCAGAGAGAGGAGCCCCTCACTTTGAACCTTGGGCCTGCCCTCTACCAACAAGTTCCTGGTGGAGTTTTATCCAGGTATTTAATGGGAGCTTAAATTCATTCTGAGAGAGTCCCTTCATGTGTAAAAGAAGTTGTGATCCTCTGCATAAAGCTTTTGTGCAGCACAGTGGTAATAATTACCATTGATGACGTGTTTACTGTGTGACTCACACTTCGAAGTCACCATCTTAGGAGAGGTAGGAGTTAGTATTTTCCCTGTTGTATAGATGCAGAAACTGAGGTGCAGAAAGATCAAACAGTTTGGGTCACACACTAATAAATTTCCGGAAGGGGAATTTGAACCTAGGCTCCTGAAGGAAGTTTAGGCCTCAGTAACATGCCTGAGGCAACACTTGGCCCCAGAAAGCTTCTGAGTCCATATTAATGGTTTTTGATGAGGTCTCTAGAGTCTGGTTGGGATGGGACATTTAGTGCCCTAAGAGTGGAAGCTGGGCTTTTCCCAGAGGTGAACGAGGCCAGAAGTGAGGTTGCCTGAGGCCCTGGACAGCCTGACACACCCCCCTTTCTCACCAGCACCTCCTTCCTGCCACACAGGGTGATGTGAGCAGAGCCCAGGAATGCCTTATGTGGATCGGCAGAACCGAATCTGTGGGTTTCTGGACATCGAGGAGAATGAGCACAGCGGCAAGTTTCTGCGGAGGTACTTTATTCTGGACACCCAGGCCAACTGCCTGCTCTGGTACATGGACAACCCCCAGGTGAGAGGCCAAGAGGGGTGTGGGCGCGGGTGGGAGGAGTGTACTAGATCAACCTCAGGGGCCTCAGCAGTAAGGAGGGACAAACCCTCTGACCACGTGGATGTGGAGAGGCACAAGACACACTTGTGCATGCAAAGAAAACTGTGCCAAGGGCTGGAGTGTAGCTCAGTGGCAGACAGTATATGAGGCCTTGAGTTCAATGCCCAGCACTGCCAACATAACAAAACAGAAATAAATAAAGAAAAAGAAAACTGTCTCAGCTCCTAGCTTGGGGGCGGGGGGGGCGGTTGGCTTTTGGTCCTAGATCTGGTGGTTTTTTTTCCGTGTGCTGGAATTTAACCCTTGCAAAAGCCAGGCGGGCTCCGGGCACAAGCTTGGTTTGTTCCTCTCCCTCTCCTTGGGCTATGGCCTGGTGGCTGCTCCTGCTCTTCCAGTCGAGGCCCCTCCCTAGTGGAGAATGTGACCTCATTCTCTGAGCTGGATGAATGTTCAACTTCTTTGGGCTTCTGAATCAGGAAGTCATAGAGTCCTGGGTTGGAGGTGACCTTGGAGCTCACCTAGTTTTGCTTCCTGACACTACAGATGAGAAAAACTGAGCCTCAGACATTGCAATGGACTTAGGCAAAGACATGGTTAATAACTTTATTAGGATTTTAAGGAGTCAGGCACAGAGATGGAGGCTCCCTAAGTCCTGGGGGGTCCCTGGAACCATCACTGATCTGGGAAAAATTCCTCTTTGGGAGTTCATGTTTTGTTTCTGTTGTTTTTTCTGGTATTGAGTACTGGGATTGCAGCCAAGTGGGGACGGAGGAAGGTATGTGGGCCGGGATTTGGTTCTGTTCTAAGGCTTGGGAAGAGGAAGGTCAGAGTGGTGGGGGATAGATTTGTGCTTTAAGATGTGCTATGCAAAGAACAGTCCTGTGAACCTTGAGGTCATTGTCCAGGGGCTAGTCCTCTGGAGGCCTTTGGCATTTGTCTTCTGCATTTGATAGCTGAGTGAGAAAACATTATAGATGCAGAAAGCATATGCAGAAAGTCAGCTGCTGCAAATTCCCTTCTCCTGGAAGACAGCCCTCAGTACAGCTCTGCCCCCGCATCACCCCACTTCCCTGAGAAACCAGCGCCTTACTGTCATTTGAAGCTCTGAGCATCCGGACTGGATCCTGCACTGGACACTCCACCCTCTGCTGTGTCTCACTATGGCTTGGTCTTACTTTGCCTCAGACCCTGCTGCTTCAGTTTTCGCTGCCTTTGCTCTGTGCAGATGCCCACCTCTGGCTCAGCAGATGCATTGTACAGGGAAAAAGAATTGAAGGTCTTCTTCACTGCTGTTGAAGGGGCTGGGAATTGAGTCTTTGTTGCCAGTAGACTTCACTTCTGGCTCACCAGGAGAAGCACTGGGGATGAGGGTCTCTTCTCCTACTCACCTGTCATGTTAGCTCAGTGAATTTGTATGGATTTTTGTCTTCATTTATCTGCTTCCCACCATGCTTCCCCAGTAGAACTACCCTGAACACACATCTTCTTGCTTAGGGAAACCAGCTGCCTCTCCGGAGAATTGGGCCTTCCTTCAAACCTTGTGTTACAGAGTCTTGCTGTCACTGACTGGTCTTCCAGGACCACAGGGACACTGTCTGGTACCTTGGATGTTGCTAGTTGTTCATTTCCCTCATTCTGAGCTGGAATTTTATTGTTACTTGGGGCTGGAACTTGCTCTAATTTTGATGCTGAGCCTCAGGCTACCTGACTGGGCTCTGTGGGTCAGGCGCTGCAGCAGTGCCTGTCTTCTTGCTCAGGGCAGCCTCCCTGCCTCTGACCCTGGGATCTTGGGGTGCTCTTTGTGGGAACCCCCTTTGAGTTTGAGTCATGGGACAGAGCTTATCACCAAGGGTGGGGAATAGGACTAGAGGTGGGGTAGGGATCCTGGTCCACTGCTAGGGCTTCTTCACATCTTTCCAGGAAGGTATAGATTTCAGCTGGCTCAACATATGCCCCCGAAGGAGGAGACTTGCTGTGACATAGCGACAGTTCAGAACTTTTTACTTCTTTAGTTCTTAGGGTCTTCATAGTGTTCACGGTCAAGCAACACTCTAGACTTGAGAATGGATGCTTTGGTAAACTGCGAAGTAGTATTAGTGAACATTTATCCCTAGGTGCTGACCACAACTTACTGGGTTTTTGTACTGACAGCAAGTCCAACTGGTAGGTATTACCATCCTCATTCTAAAGGTAAAGTAGGTGAGGCAGAGAGAAGAAATTTGCGTACAGTTACATAATAAGAATGTGGCAGAGCCAGGATTCTCAGCCTGGCAGCCAGCTCCGGTTCCCCGGCAGTGCTTGCTGATAGTGAGACAGTCATCTCCAGGTTTTTTGGAAAGGAGAAAGGCTTGAAGAGGCAGTCTCTGATGAAGACAGAGAAGCTGGAAGACTCAGCCTGTAGGTTCCAGAGGGCAGAGAGCTCATCTGTGTTAGCTTTTGAGCCTTGTGTTCGGTGCTGGATAAATGTTTGCTCACTGAGTGAATGAATGCATGAATGCATGAATGAATGAATGAATGAACAAACTAAGGGAGAACAGGGAAAGAAACTGTCAGGAGCAGGTGCTCAGGAGGTGCAGAGTGTTTGATTCAGCTCTCCTGGGACTGGAGACAGGGCCAAAACCAAATGGAAGCCTGTAGACGGGGCCACCCTGGGGATGTGGAGAGAGGCACTGAGACTCCTTTGGTCACTAATGTGACCAAATAAGCCACCTAATAAGCAAGATTTCTGAACCCAGGTTGCTGATCTTTGCTTGGTTGACCCACCTGGTAGGTGGTATGCCCTGGGCCTGTTTCTGCTACTCCTGTCTCTACTGCTGTTTTCACTGGTGCAGCTGATACTTCCTGAGTGGTTAGCACATGCCAGCAATTATGTGAAATGCTTTGCATATATTATCTCATTAAATCCCCTCAATAATCCCTTGCTCTGTTGTCTGGGGTACTGTGCAACTCCTGGGCTGAGGCAGTCCTCCTGCCTCGGGACCATCGGTTATCAAATGCCAGCATTCTGCTTGTGGGATTAGGAGTTGCTGTAGACCTCTGCTGCTTCACCAAGGGGACGTGATAGGGCCTGGAGGCAGACTCATCAGGAAAGATGTCAGGCCTGGGAGATGAGAGCAAGGCTGCAAACTGGGTTCTGTAACTCAGTTGATTTGTGTCTGAGGAAGGTTGATTTCTCTTCTGGAATATGGACACTCCAGAGGATCCTCTTCAGGACTTCTAGCCCTTCATTTCCTGAAGGCCTGAGAAGAGGGAGACCCTAGAGCTTAGCAGCATCACCCAACACATACCTACTAAACTTGGCCTGTGTGTCAGATACCGAGCAAAGCCACAGACGCTGAGGCCGCAACAGTGAGTGAGACAGTCCATGCTGCCAGTGGGGAACTGGAAGATTAGCACACAAGAGGCAGGAAGAGCTTGGACACCACTTTGTGGAGGGGTGACACTAGAGCCAGCTCTTGAAGGGTGGCTGAAATTAGAGTGATTCTTGCCACATATTACTCACATGTGCAGCGCATTTGCAGGCTTTGAAGCGTTTTCATGTACAGGGTCTCACTTGGTCATTATGCCTACTTGTCTTAAGCATGGTGGAAGAGGAAGAGGGGGAACAGAGGTCATTAGGACGGTAGAGGGTGCTTAAGGTTGGGCTCCTGGGAAGAAGACTTCGGGAGGAGTCAGGTCCAGTGCAAGGGTTTGTGGGTAAGGTCTTTCTTAAGGAAATGCTCCTTCTGGGCCTGTCAGGAGGCCAGCAGTGCAGGCCTGAGTCACCAGGGGAAGTTTTAGCTGAGGCCTGTGGGAGCTCTGGGGTGAGTTAAGCCCAAGACAGCGGGGCTGCCGTGTGCTGCCCTGCACATGCACTGTGCAGCTCGGGAAGTGTGGGCAGCGTGCCTTCAGCGGCCCAAGGTGGTTCCCTGGGGCAGAGGTGAAACTATGTGGGAGCAGGGGTAGTGTCTGCCAATGGCCATGTGGTGGGGAAGTGTCACAGGCAAAGCACAGCATGGATCCGGGACAGCCTTGGATGTCAGGCAGGATTAACCGATGTGTGAAAGGAATCCAAGTTTTCCACAGAGGCATTTGAGGACACCAAACTGAAGACGGAGCCCATTAACTGCAAAGGACCCTCTGAATGGAAAGTTTCAGTATTTTTGATCATGGCCACTGATTTGGCTAATGCATCTAAAAGCCAATATGCTGGCAGCATCAAGTAAACAAATAGCTCTTTTTTTTTTTTATTGAAGTAAGAATATTTAACATGAGATCTACTCTTTCAATGCCACGTTGTTGACTATAGGTACAATGTTCAACCAACCTTTCTAGAGCCAACTCATTTGGTCAGTACAAACAAATAATTCTTGATTAGAAGCAAAGCACTGCTTAGATTTTCCTTAAGACGATACTATGATGTGACACAGCTGTATGTGTGGTGGTGGTGCTGAGGACTGAACCCAGGCCCTTATCCATGCAAGGCGGGTGCTGTACCACTGAGCTACATCCCAGCCCCAGCAGTTGGAGTTTAATGTTGGTCCCTATCGTGGTAGAGGAGATGAAATTCCTTGATTAGAGCTGCTCCACTTTATCACAGTAACCTACAGAGTAATGAACTAGGTTTTAGTTGCACAGCAAAGCTGACATTCAACCTCTCTAATGCCCACTTGGCTATGTAATTATAATTGCAAGACTAAATTATATGGCCTTGAACAGGGGTAAACAGAAGCATGGAAACAATATTGCACTAGAATATTGTACTAGATCGTTGTTCTTGTCAGATTTACCCTATATGGTGCATCTTTTTTTAAAAGAATACTTAGATGACTTTACTTTCCAGAGGCCGTGATGTAATTATGGGTCATCATAATACCTCAAAAGGTTGCAGCTCTCCTTGTAAACCCGGGACCCCAATGAAAGCCCTCCTTCCTCCTTCCCTCTCTTCCTCTCTGTCTCTCGGTCTCTAAAATAAGCTGAAA